AAAAGTATCAATATTGTCAGACTTCTCCATCCCAAATGGCTCTTCCATAGTTATTTACCAGTGCTGACCAGTTTGTTGTCACTTTAGTTGTTTTTGTAGATGAACCATCGTGGTAGTTGGCAGCCATCCGCACAGTTTACAATCATATATTGCATACAATAACCATCTGTGCAGATGTTGCTTCTTCCTCCTGCTGCCCTTGGGCCAAAATGATCCATGAGGTCCAAGGTTTAAAACTGACCTTGTGGGTCATTTTGACTCAAGGGCAGCTGGAGTTTTGTTTTTTTAACCATTCTTCAGCACTTTGCAATGAGCAGCTTTAAATCATTCCTTTATAAAATAAATGAAAAAAATAAAAACAACAACAACAAATGAGCGCTGTTCAAGACCAATCCCTGATTAACTGTCCAACCTTTGAAGAATATAAAGGGATGATTTTAAACCTTTATTAAATGATCAATGCTATTTTAAATCGTAACAAGAGTACTGGATACAGCACATTATCCGCTCATGAACAAACAAACAGCAGTAATGGCCCAAACCACAAACATTTGATCTTCAAAGTTCATGCTCAGTAATCCAGCTAAAAATCCAACAATGTTCAGTCAGGTCATCCGGGTGTTTTTTTTGTTGTTGAGACATTTCACCCTCCATCCAAAGGACTTCAATAATCTGAGGAGTCACAAACAAACTAAGTCCCACAAGCAGCAAAACTGGTTAAAACTTATCATCAACAAATAGGGCTGGGTACCTTTCTAAAAAAATTGGTACCGGTGTCGGTACCTTCACTTCGGTGTCGGTTCCTGGATGGTTCTTTTTCGGTACCAATTTTATAATTACCATTAATTCTAACAAGAATAAAATTATGTTACACATTACAGTACAAATCGTGAATTTTATTTTTTTTAACTTTGGTATTTCTATTCCAAGAAGTTTTCTTACATAAAAATAAACAAATAATTTCCAGGTCAAAAGACCAGTTTCAAACCAGTGACACGTCAGTGTCTAATGCTCACTGCTACACAATGAGGACCTTTTCACTGAACAGTTTTTCATCAGAAACATCAACATGTCTGTTTTCTCTGGACACAAACAAGTCTGCTCCTGGCTGATGGTGTCTCCAGCAGTAGAACATGTTCACTCTGAGGCTGTAGATGATGCTTGTTGCACACACAGATACCTGGTTGTCAGTTTGACATATTGTCCCTCACATCCCACCAGCAGGTCACTGGATTCACTGAGGTAGTGTTGATGCAGACTTCTGTACCTCTGTGTCTCTGCCTGAATCTTCTCTGTGGTTCTCTGGGGTTTAGGGCTCTTATCATCTCCCTAATTGACATGAGAACAAAACATCAAAAATAACATGATTGTGTTATTATTACTCAAAAAACATTATCTAGGCTGAGAGATAAAAGATTAACTGGTCAACAAAATCCTTTACAGTTTAACTTACCTCCACCGTGCAGCTCCACTGTAGAAAAAGCAGCAAACTTTTAACAACAAAGTTTGTGACTGTCCTGTGGCCCCGACCTCGCTTTTCTTTAGTCCTCCTCACATCAGGCTGAGAACCTCCTATGAGGAGAACATTAACAGTGAACATTAGTGAAATGTTTAAGCTTCTGACTGGATGGATGAGCACATGTTTACAAGCTAAGCTTTATCTGTTACTGTCAATCTTTAGTTAGCTTCTGATTTTAGCTAGCTACATAGATAACCATAAAATAAATGTACACATTAATATCTTAAAAAGTTAGCGTTACATGGATCATAGTTTAATTCACTGCGATGTACGTGTTAAGCTGCAGTAACGTTAACAAATGTAAACTCACCAGCTGAAACACAGACACAGAGCCGTCCTCGGAGTTCTTTGATGAAGAGTCCAGTCGTGGAGACAATGAATCAGGACGTTCATGCTCTCTAACACTCACAGGCTGACTTTAATGCTGAGAGGAGGAGGATGAGGAGGAGGAGGGGGGAGGCTGCTGTCCTCGTCTCTCCTCGCAGAAAAACGGAGCAACTTTCTTCTCTCGTGTTGTCGAATGGCTTCGACAACACGCGCTGCACATGTGAACCTAGTCCGTGAGCGTCACCAGCACCATAGACATACATTATGCATAGATTAGGTACAGCAGCTCTATACAGCTCTGGGTGTAAACACGTAGTCTGTTTGTCATATGTCTGGTGTTTTACCTGCCTGCATGCTGAAACCACGTGACACGTTACAGCCAATACTGAAACTTGACACCGAAAGAACAGTGACGTTTCAATACATACACCAACAGTCCGGTCAGTGCCATAAAAGAACCTCGGTTCGGTATTCAGCCCTACCAGCAAAGTGTTTTTTCCCACTATGGGAGTGTGCTGCTTGTGGGACCCTGTCTGTTTGTGGCTCCTCGGACTGAAGAAGTCCTTTGGATGAAGGACAAAACGTCTCAGAAATAAAAGAAATCATCCAGATGACCTAACTGAACATTGCTGAACATTTGACCTTGATTTGACCTTACAGCTGGAATGTAAGATTACACAACCTGCCATCTAGTGGTGTTACAAATCTGAATAAAGTTTCGTTAAATTGTCTCGAGTGAATCAGAAGTTATGGTCTGGACAATCAAATATTTTGTTTTCACTTTGGCCTTGATTCGTGACCTTGACCTTGAATCAGAGTGATGAATAGTTTACGCGATTCTCCGTCTGGTGATGATACAGATGATACACATGTATGAAGTGTCATTAAATGATCTTGAGTGGATCTGAAGTTTTGGCCGGACAGGAGAAAGTTTACAGACGAACGGAGACGCTCGTCCTTCATCAGGCACATAATAAACAAAGAACAATCAGAACGTCTTTCAATAGTTGTGAGAAGAACTGTAATCAATACAAAACAATCAAAGCTTTCCTGTGACAACTTTTCAGTTTTTGTCACACTCCTTAAAAAACACAAACATTTGTTCAATACATTTTTTTAAAGGTCATTCTGGGGTCAAATTTAAAGCACACAAATGAGAAAAACTGTACCTTTAAGGAATTCCTTGGAGACGATACACAAAGTCTTCCTGCTGCCCCAGATGGCGTCTCTGATGTTTGAGAGATGGTCCTCACCAGGCAGGAAGTCTCTGGCCTCGAAACAACAGCAGAAGCAGTTTTCTTCTGAAAACTGGTTGTCAAGCTTCTTCAGCAGCGCAGCCTCCACCCACCTGTAGTCATTGCTGCTGAAGCAGAGGAAGACATCGTGCTGCAAGTCGTTCTCACCAGGTGTTGCCTTTGGGCCCTCAAGAACCCTGCTGACAATCTTTTTGTAGATGATGTATATGTGCCCTCGGAGGCGGGCGTAAAGAAGCCCACCGAGCGTGACGCTGAGGATGAGGATGGCAGATAAGATGAAAAGTGCAAAGCGGAGCTGCTGAACAGCCTTTTCGTCATCTTCCTGGCACAGTTCAAAGACCATGGAATACTCCAGCAGGGGAAGGTTGTGGACAGCAGCTGGGAATTCACATCTGTACTCCTGAACGGGGCTCAGGAAAGTGACGTTGGTTGAGTTCAGCCATGTCAGGAAGCCCTCCAGAGTACAGTCACAGAGGAAGCGGTTCTCTGCCAGGCCCAGGTATCTGAGAAATCGGAAAGTCGTGGGATCAGGGGAGGCTAGGAAGTTATTTGAAAGGTCAAGTATTTTCAGGCTGGCTGGAAAGACATCTCTCTGCAGATAGGTCAACACATTTGATGAAAGGTCGATGAGTACGACCGAGCGGAGACCTCTGAAGATCCCCTGAGGGAGAGCCATTAGTGAATTGAAGCTTATATTTAGTTGGTGCAGATTCTGGAGATGATCGAACACATTAAGGCATTTCCCCTGTTCCCACACGGTCTGCAGGGAGCTGCCATGAAGATCCAGTATTTCTAAACTAATATTATGAGGCATTTCAACCCCAGAGTTTATTGTGCACCACCTGATCATGTTACTGCCAAAAAACAGATACCGGAGATGCTTGAAGTTAGTTAAGACCACATAAACATCCTCCATGTTTGTTAACCTGTTCTCTGAAATATCTAGATAAATACTGTTCTCACCCATGCCAAAGCCTCTGCCAAATAAATTTAACCTATTGTCTCTGAATACAAGAACATTTAAACTAGGTAGCGGTGCGAGAAAACCAAGCTTCCGCAGCAAATTTCCAGTCAGATATAAATCTCGTAGATTGGGAAGACCACTGAAAGCATTGAACCCCAGTGCACCAATGTGGTTGTAAGACAAGTCCAGTACAAGGAGTTGTGTCAGACTGCTGAATGTGTAGGAGTAGACCTCTCCTAACAGATTGAATGACAAGTTGAGCATCTTTAAATGTCCCTGAAGACCACCAAAGGCGTTTCTTCTAATCTGGTTTATGTTGTTGTGCGAGACATCAATAATCATTACTTCCTTCAAAACACTGAAGACTCCACTCTCTAAAGCAAATATCAAATTCTTTGACAGATCTAAAATGATGACAGAACTGTTTCCAAGGCTTTGAAATGTGTTTTTATCTGGATCACGACTGTTGTTGTGAGAAAAGCCCTTTCCAAGAATTCCTTTGAATCTAAGGTGGCGTATTGGCGTCCCCTCTATGGCTCTGAAGAACTGCTTAGTTTGCTCCTCGTTCAACCCATTGCTCGAGAGGTCAAGGACGTCAAAGGCCATTCCTTTGAAAGGGTTTCCACATTTCTCCGCATCTGTGTTGGAAAGCTTGTTGGAGTTCAAGTTCAGCTCAGCAAAATATTTACCCCTGAAGCCAACAAGGTCCTCCTCACATATTTCTTCCACATAATTCAGTTTGAGGTTTAGACGAGTGAACTTAGTCAAATTCAGAAAGAACAGACCAGGTTTCAGTCTCTGGATCTTGTTTGCGTAAAGGTTGAGCTCTTCTAAAGACACAAGTGGCTTCAGATAGTTTTCTGACAGTACAGAGTCTGTCAAGTTGCAGTAGTACAACGAGAGGTTTCGTAAAATGAAGAGCCCTGCGAATGCTCTCGGCTCCAGTTTCAGATTTAGATTAAAGCCGAGCAACAACTCCCTCAGATTCTTCAGCCTGAGGAAAGAGTCGTTCCTGAGGATGAGCGTCACGCGTTGCGCTTCCAGGTTTAAATGTTGGAGCCCCTCCAGACCCCTCAGGGAGGTGCTGTTGATCTCACTGATGTGGTTTGCATCCAGATAGAGGTGAGTGATGTTGGGTGGCAGGGCTGGAACCCAGCGATGACTCTGAAAAGAGCAGAAAGCTATCTGCTGTGCCAAAACGCACGAGTAGCACACCTTCACCTGCAACAAAGAAGACTGCGTTATTTCTAAAAACAGGAGGGGAGCCGGGGAATCATTCAGTCATTTTTCCGGACGCAATACACTTGGACTCAACTGCAATTATTTTTTCCCTTTTGTGGATAAAAAAAAAAATAAATAGAGCTCTTCTTTCCTCTCTGACGTGTTGACATTTAACCTGTAAAAAAGTGAGTATAATTTTTATTTTTAAGTTGCTGCTAGTGTTTCACTGGAGTTATCATGGTAACCACACGCCTGTGTCTGTCACTCCCTGACATGAGAGGCAGATAGAAACACAGAGTAGAAAATAAGTCTCAAACAGGTAATATGTGAACACAATAGGGGTTTAACAATACAGCAATTTAAATCGATATATCAATTAAATGATTAACGATTCAATTATATTGTGGCAAAACTAAAACATCGATTCATATTGTCATCTTTAAAATACGCTTTAATTTTGAAATTCTCAAGGCACATCTGTGTCACCATTTCCGTGCTCGACTACGATCTGCAGCCGCCTCAGCAACATGGCAGATGAGGCAGAAAACACAGATAATGAAATTCACTCTCCTGATGGATTTAAATCAACACTGTGGAAATATTTTGGATTCCGACAGAAGGAAAGCTCAACAGACAAAACTCATGTCGTATGCAACAGGTGCCAGTGTGAGTTAAAATACTCAGGAAACACAACAAATTTGGCCGTTCACCTGAAGAAGAAACACAGCATTGATAGCCACGTTATTTAAGCTCAATATCTATTTTTGTTTCTTTATAACTGAAAGGTAATCAGGGCACTTTTAAGTTAACTGGTTTAAAAAATGCACTTAAACATGAGAAATGTGAGACTATACTGAACAGGTCATTTATTTTTATTTTTTCATTAATTAAGGAAGAATATTATTTTTATTTAAATGCCTGGTGCCTGTAATAACAGAAATAAAATGGTTAAATCATATTTGAATTGTTTTTGTAAACTTATTTATATGTAAATGAGATGGGCATTTGATATTACAATACATCGATCGCAGACTTGTGAATCGAACAGAATCAAAATCGTATCGTGACAGACTTTGTGATATCAAGAAAAATTGTATCGTCATACAGTCAAATCAATAAAATATTGTATTGTGGTAAAGCTGGTGATTTACACCCCTAGAACACAAAGTCCTTCTGAAAGGATTCCTGCGCTGCACGTGGCACCAGTGGGTGCTCGTCCAACATCAGCTTGCCTCAGTCTTGAAAGTTGAAGAATTAAGAAGTCCATTTTGAAGATGACATTCGGAGCTCAGATTTTGTGGAAGTCAGTGAGAGTTTGGATGTGTGCATGTTACACTTTCAAGGGAATTTGAAAGCAAAGTCTTCTAACAGTGAAAGAGACACTGGGTGAAAGAGGACACATACCAAGGATTTGATTCATCTAAACTCTCACTGACTTCCACCGAGCTCAAAGTTTTACCTTTAACACCTGGAAGTCCTTTTAACTTGGGACAGTCCCCCCCCCCATTATTTAACTGCATAAAAATCCATCCATCCATCCATCCACCATCTTTACCTGCTTCTTCGTTTTCAGGTCACTGATGTCCATATCCAGCAGTCACTGTGTGAGAGGTGGGGTACACTCTGGACAGGTCTCCAGTCCATCACAGGGACACCTGAACATGTCTCCAGTCCATCACAGGGACACCTGAACATGTCTCCAGTCCATCACAGGGCCACATAGAGACAAACAATCATTCACTCTCTCTCTCACCTAGGGACAATTTAGAGTTACCAATCAGTCTAACATGCATGTTTTTGGTCTGTGGGAGGAAACCAGAGTACCTGGAGAAAAACCATGCATGCATGGAGAGAACATGCAAACTCCACCCAGAAAGGCCCCTGCACCAGGATTTGAACCAGGGACCTGCTCGGTGAGAGGCAGCAGCTCTACCAGTTGTGCCACCATGCTGCCCTAAATTTGGGATTAAAAGTTGCAGTTAAGATTTTAAAATTTGAAACAAATCGGGCAAAAAAAAAAAAAAAAAAAGATTTTTAACCTTTGTGAGCCAAATAAAAACATGTTCATTGACTGTGCCAAAATAAATAATTAAAAACAGAAACAAAAATAAATGTGGCTGATTTTTCTTCATAAGGTCTTGCGAGAGTTAAAACTGGACCTTCATTAACTCATTGTGTCTCTGGTAAACACTGTAGAAACATGACATCCAGGCACTCCTGCCTCTTACAGTTCTGGAATTTATTCCGTTGTGTTTCTGTCCTTCTGTCTTATTAAGAGTGCTGTCTGGAAGTGAGATGTGTGGTTACCATGGTGACCTTAACAAGTAATTTGATCTTGGTTCTTTTTATACCTTTATACAGTTTATGCATCAAAATGTCACATTTTGTTTGATTAAACCATTAAAACGTTGTTGAGCTTCAGAGAAAAGAATCGATGGACGCTGGAGTTTCTGACTGGTACATTTCAGAATTACTTTAGAAATGTTTCTGTTTGCTTGGACACATTCTAAATTAATAATTTCCTGTAATTTATGTTAACTTTGATTTTCTGTTTTTTAAAAAAGAAGTGAAATTAAAGTGAAACATCCATCTAAGCTGGTGTTGGATGAAACGTCACAACTAGGCCTGTCGCAATAAACAATAAATCAATTAATTGAATGATAAATGAAATTTATCAACCTCATTTTCATTTATCGGCTTTATTGATTCTTCATTTATCTCTCTTTCTACTGAAGACACTGGATGAAAAAAGGCTCAACTCCGGTGCTTTTCAATGACCCCTCCCTTTCTCTTTAAAATCCATTTTAACGATCCAAAATTGCGTTTTTGGATCATTAAAAGCAGCTAAGCTGAGAAGCTAAGCTACAAGCTAAGCTAACAGGCAACCTTAGGAAAAAAAAACTCCATCTTGTCGAAGTTCCAAAATTCACGGTTGAAACCTGTGCCTTCATGTAAAATAGTTGTTTTTCTCGGAAAAAAGAAGCTGAGAACTTGTTTACTTATTTTTTATTAAAAGCTTTGTGTAAAAAATGTTATGCTAAAGAGCTCAAACCACACCGAACATCCGCCACTTTGAGAACCGAAAAAAGGACAAAAGAAAAAAGACAGCCCATATCACGTCAAGGGGCCTCCCTCTCATTTTTCTTAAAGAAAACGCTGCTCGCTCCCTCACTATCCATCCTTCGGTTCAAACTGTCTTGTACTGCCATCCAGTGGTCAAAAAAGGTACTAAACACAAAAAATAACCATTTCTTCTTAAATTTGACAATAATGCCTAATTATTGTCAAATTTCAAACATTATCGTTTATCACTATAATTTCTGAGAATTAATCACCCAGCAAAATTTGTTATCGTGACAGGCCTAGTTACGAACAAGTAAATAAAGAGCTCCAGGTTGGCACACGTGGAGAGAAGCTGAGCTCAGCTTCAAACCTAAACCTTGAACATTCTCTGGACAGAGTCCAGCTCTTCACTGCAGCTGCTTCACATTTATTCAGAGATGGATCTAGCTGTTACATCTACTAAACTTTCCTTAAACTCTAGTTGTCTCGTGTTTCAGTCTGAGGAAACAGGAAGGTGGACGTCAGACACGTACCTGCAGGTAAAAAGCTGTGCAGACCAGCAGGAGGAGGATGGGCCTCATTCTGTCCTTCACCTAACAGGAGAACAGACGGAGGAGAGATGGTCTGTTTGTTCTGGCAGCTTCATGGTTCACCGGAGCAGCCCAAGCTCAGCCCAGAGCGCAGTCAGATAACATTCAAATGAAAACTCATTAAAACCTGTTTGCTTTGGGTGATCACGAGAACAGGACTGTGTCATATTGTGGATTATTAATGCTGCAGCACCTGCCCCACAGAATAAATAACTGTTTGGTCATCTGAGATGTTTTAGAATGTTGCAACAGAAAATATATTTTGTGTAGAGGCCAAGCCAATGCTTTAAGCCACAGAGGTGATACACTGGGGTAGTGTTGATGCGCTGATTGTTACCTTGTCAGATGAATTTTTATCACTTTAGCAAAAGTCCAGAAACCACGTGGGGCAGACGAATCCATGATAACAACGACATCTCCAGATTTTAAACTCCGTTTCCTTTGATTCCACTTCTGCCTCTCTTGCAATAATGGCAGGTACTCCCTGATCCAACGTTTCCAAAACAAATCCGAGATATACTGAACTTATATCCAACGACGTTTCACATGCATATCAGAGGGTTCAAATAGCCCAGGTGATAAGGCAGGTTTTCCCTTTAACAGAAGATGATTTGGTGTGAGAGGCTCCAAGTCATTTGGATCGTTAGACAGCTTTGTAATTGGACGATCATTTAAAATGGCTTCTACCTCACACATAACAGTGTGAAGTCCATCGTCATCCAACGTCTGCTGTCACAAAACTGAGTTAAGGATGTGCCTTACAAAGTGTATCATGCACTCCCACACTCCACCATAATGAGATCCTGCTGGTGTATTAAAAATCCATTCAATTGCAGCTGAAATTAAAGCACCTTGAATTTGTTTCTGATCCAATGCACTGAGGGCCTGTCTCAACTCTCTTTCGGCTTCAACAAAATTGGTTCAGTTGTCTGACCTGATGGACAACTAGACCCCTCCTGCTGATGAACTGACGTATTGCATTGATACAGGCATCTGCCTCAAGTGAGAATGGATAGCTTGGATAGCAAGGAAGAAATTTCATCTTTGAATCTTTGCTGTTGACAATAGCATATAATGGCTAACTCAGCTTCCAACAGATCTTTGGGCATTAGAATGAGTTCTTCGGACCTTTTGGCTGACGACTGAGCTGTAACAAATATGTTTTCAGCCTGAGAAACCAGGCAAAGAAACTTTGAGCTTCCAAGACTGGAACAGTAAGCAGACAAAGTTCCATCTACAAACTGGATCCTATTTTGGATAATGGGCTGTTGAGAGTTGGAGGAAGGTTAAGCAAGGGAGCAATGCCAATGGAAGAAAAACATCCTCTTATTCTCTCCAAAGATCACCATACTTCCAGACTTATCCTTAAACATATCCATCAGTTATTGGGACACAGTGGACGAAACCATACTCTGTCAACTCTTAGGAGGAAGTACTGGATTACCAATGCAAATGCAGCTGTGAGGAAAATCATATCTGAATGCTGTTTTTGCAGACGCTTTAATGGGAGAGCTTTGGAGCAAAAGATGGCGGATCTTCCAAAAGAGAGAATTGTTCCTGATTTGCCTCCATTTATGAATGTTGGAGTGGATTATTTTGGACCTGTTGAAATCAAACAAGGCAGAAAAACATGCAAATGTTAAGGCGTGATATTCACCTGCATGACAAGTAGAGCAATACATTTGGAGATAGCAAATTCACCTGAGACAGATGCCTGTATCAATGCAATACGTCGGTTCATCAGCAGGAGGGGTCAAGTTGTCCATATCAGGTCAGACAACTGAACCAATTTTGTTGAAGCCGAAAGAGAGTTGAGACAGGCCCTCAGTGCATTGGATCAGAAACAAATTCAAGGTGCTTTAATTTCAGCTGGAATTGAATGGATTTTCAATCTACCAGCAGGATGGTGGTGTGGGAGTGCATGATACGCCTTGTAAGGCGCATCCTTAACTCAGTTTTGTGCCAGCAGACATTGGATGACGATGGACTTCGCACTGTTATGTGTGAGGTAGAAGCCATTTTAAATGATTGTCCAATTACAAAGCTGTCTGACGATCCAAATGACTTGGAGCCTCTCACCCAAATCATCTTCTTCTGTTAAAGGGAAAACCTGCCTTACCAACTGGGCTATTTGAACCCTCTGATATGTATGTGAAATGTCTTTGGAGACAAGTTCAGTAAGAGAGGCAGAAGTGGAATCAAAGGAAACGGAGTTTAAAATCTGGAGATGTCGTTGTTATCATGGATTCGTCTGCTCCACGTGGTTCCTGGACTCTTGCTAAAGTGATAAAAAATTTTCCCTGACAAAAGAGGCATGGTACATTCTGTCAAGCTGCAGACCAAGAACAACATTATTGAGAGACCTATTACCAAACTCTGTTTGATACAAGGGGTGCAAATTGATTCAAATTAGTTTGCATTTCTGTGTATCACTGATTTATTTATTTATTAATTTTTATTTTCACATTTGGCTCCTATTGTTGTTGTATAGAATTGTTATGTCTGCATGCCATACCAATTAGGGGCTGGTGTGTAGGAGCAGTTGATAAATGAACATTGTAGTGGACTAGGCCTCCGACCAAAACCTGCCTCTGAAGACCTTCATGGGACAGGAACTGTTATTTCATTGATTTGAATCCAGAAATACAAATTAGCTCATCCAGAGACTGTCTAATTGTATCCTGAAGTAATCAATTGAAAGAACACTCTCTTTTTTATATTATCATTACTATTTTACAATATCTTGATAATCAAAAGTGTGTTTAGTTCATACCATTTCTAAATGTTGAAGTGAACCACTCATTTTAAATCAACTGTGAAACAGTATTAATGATTTTTTAATCCTCGTTTAAATTAGAAATCAAGTTAAATGTCTATTTTACAAAGTAATTATGCATTTTTGATCTTCTGTCTGAAATGAGAAGTAGTGATCTCGGTCAAAAGTCGGAGACAGTCAAAAACAAGTTGTTAGAACGGGCTGTTGTGTTTTTAAAACTCTCAGATAGTAAATAAGAATACTGGCACCTGCAATGTTTCTCACTTCGCCAAAACATTTCTCTGTCTGTTCCTAAAATATTCTTACTGTTTTCTTGACTTGTAAAAACCCTCTGACATCACTAGAACCACACCCCTGTTGGTTGCTTCAACCAATCAGGACTTACTAAAGTGACCGGAAGCAGAACTCTTTAAAAGTCGACACTTCCTGGACCTATAGGCTTCTGAGGTTCTGTGGAGTAGTTCTGGAGTGAAGTTCTGTTCTGTTCTAAAGTTCTGGAGTTTTCCACTGCTGAGAGGAACTTCGGACTCAGTTTTCCAGTCTGATGGAATCATCCATCTCTACAGGAGTCACGGCGCCTCGCTGTGACTATCACCAGGCGAACGCCCTACAACTTCTGAGGAAGTTTGTTCTGTAGAACGGAGTATTTCACGACTTCTGCCGAGTCGCAGCGGCCTTGAGGAGACGCTGAAAGGTAGCGTGCCAGGGACCTCTTGACCGTAGTGGACCCATCCTCTGCCAAGGTAAAGAGTCGTCACGAGCTTCACGCGAAGTGTACCGCGGGCAAACTGCGTTGGAAAGGAGCGTGTTGTTCTGGTCTACAGACATACATCTTCCTTCAACATCTTCCTTTAAACTCCTCCATATTTCCCATCTTTAAAACTCTTCTATCTTGCCAGTAATTAATCCAGATGCCTTCAGAAATGTCTGTAGTTTTTATTAAGTAAAATGTGCCAAGTTTTATTAATCAGAACCAGATCAGTCTAATCAAGTGTACAATGTTTTGATGTTAAATTTTGATTCTGTTAATAAATGACCACATTTATTTTGATGGGTCAAAGAAAATTAACGTCTCATGCCACTGATTAAACCATCTACGCACAGTTCCTGTTAATTACAGTCACATGGCTGTAATTAGCTCGAAAGAGAGAACTCGTTATCTGAAATATAATTGTAGTGAAGCTACGAAGCTAACCTAGCCCTTAGAACACTACAATATATTTGTGAACGGGTATTAGGACACGTGGGTAATCAGCTGTCTATATAGTAAGAACCTTTCTTTGTGAGTTCAGGAGTTTCACCCGGAAGGGGGAAACAGTTTTTGACCGCTGAATACAAAAGATACTAGATGCTGTCAAAAGATGTAAGCATTGTGGAAATATGTATTGCCTTTAAATAGACACAGATGAAACGTAAAAAATAAATGGATTACCTGCAAACGAGCAAGGACAGCTCTAAATTTAATTCATCTGACAAGGTAACAATCAGCGCGTCAACAATACCCCAGTGTATCACCTCAGTGTCTTAAAGCATTGGCTTGGCCTATATATATATATATATATATATATATATATATATATATATATATATACAGTATATACATTTGTAGTGAACTAAGCCTCAGGTCAAATCCTGACCTTGAGGGCCTTCCTGGGACAAGAACTGTATTTCATTGATTTGAGTCCAGAAACACAAAATCAAGTCCATCCAGAGACTTTCTAAGTGTCCTGCACTGATCAATTGAAAGAACACTCTCTTTTTCTATTATCATTACTATCTTACAAATGTCTTGATAATCAAAGTGTGTTTAGTTCAAACCATTTTTAAATGTTGAAGTGAACTACTCATTTTAAATCAACTGTGAAACAGTATTAGTGATTTTTTAATCCTCATTCAAAGTAGAAATCAAGTTAGAATGTGTTACGGAGTAATTCATGCATTTTCTGATTTTCTGTCTGAAATGAGCAAGTGTAAGTTGGTCCAAGGTTGGAGGCAAGAAAACAAGTTGTTGGAACGAACTATCATGTTTTTATATCCTCTCAGACGTAAATAGAGAAGCTGGCACCTGTTTTCCCCCAACTCGCCTAAACATTTCTCTCGTCTGTCTCAAAAACATCTTCTGTCCGTTCCAAAACAATTTTTCTGTTTTTCTGACTTTTAATAACCTCTTACATCACTAAAACACACCCCTGTTTGGTCGATCGACCAATCAGGAACTTCCCAAATG